ATCTAAACAACTACGAAGTTGTATGCCTCGAGTGGAATCTCGGCAAAGGCTATGAAGCCTACGACTACGAAGTCGATCTAAACAACTACGAAGTTGTATGCCTCGAGTGGAATCTCGGCAAAGGCTATGAAGCCTACGACTACGACGTCGATTTAAACAACTACGAAATTGTAACTCGAGTAGATTCTCGACAAGACTACGAAGCCTACGACTACGAAGTCGACCCACACAACTACAAAGTTGTGATTTTCCACCATGATTAAGGCCTCCGGGCTGGGTGGTCGAAGACGGAAAATCCACCATGATTAAGGCCTCCGGGCTGGGTGGTCCACCATGATTAAAACCCATCGAGTAAAGATAGTCGGATGTGTCGACCACCCCCCCAAGGGTGGGCATACGTTCGAGGAAAAACCCATCGAGCGAAGATGGTCTAATGAGTCGACTACCCCTCCGAGGGGGGCATGCGTTTGAGCCTAGATAATTGATGTTGATCCTTACTTGATTTTGTCGAAGTTGTATTTTGGCCTCGGTGGAAGGTCGAGTATGTTCATTATTGCGTGAGCAGATCAATGATTTGAATTTGAACTTGATTATGTCGAAATTATTTTTCGACCTCCGTGGAAGGTCAAGTATGTTCATTATTGCGTGAGCAGGTTGATTGTTTTTCACTTGGTGGTGTATTATCGAATTTATTTTTCGGCCTCGGTGGCAGGTTGAGTGTATTTGTTATTGTTCGAGCAAGTTGACGGTTTTATTTGACTTCGTTTGGTCAAATGTGATTTTTTGACGAGAGAGTGGAGCCAGGTCTTTCAGTCTTCGAGAAGATACAAAACAGGCTTGAATTTCAAATTTTGAACTAGGGGGCGATGGGATGAGGTAACCGGAAAGGTTTATTATTAATTGACAAAACAGAATGCGTAAGTTCAAAATTTCAAATTCAAGACTTCGAGGATTAATCCTGTTGTATTCGACCTCGATTTCGGTAATCGACCTCAGAGCTAGGTCATATAATTTTCGACCTCAGAGCTAGGTCATCCAATTTTCGACCTTAGAAGCAAGTCTTTCGAGCTTCGACCTCAGAGTCAGGTCATCTAATTCTCGACCTCAGAGTCAGGTCATCTAATTCTCGACCTCAGAGCCAGGTCTCTCGATTCTCGACATCAACGGTCTCGACTCTCGATTCTCGACATCACGGTCTCGACTCTCGATTTTCGACCTCAACGGTTTTGACTCTCGATTCTCGACATCAACGGTCTCGACTCTCGATTTTCGACCTCAACGGTCTCGACTCTCGATTCTCGATGCTCGACCCCAGTGGCGAGTCACTTGACTTTCGACCTCTACAACCGCTCGGTTTTTAATGTTTGACTCCAGTGATGAATTGCTCTATCTTTCACTCTTGGATCGAGTTATGCTCACTCGACCAGAGTGGGGGGGACTAGATGATATAGCCACGAATAGTATTGTCGGCTCGACCGGTAGCATCTGATATAGCATGTCGTACCCGACCGGTTTTTATGGATATATACTGAAGAATACGCCCATACATAGGCTAAGACACTTGATATGATGAGATGGGCCAGGCCCAACCTAGGCCAAAGCCCAACTTAGATTATGAGGTATACTCCCCCTATAAAAAGGGGGCTAAGGTACTCATTTTACACATTCTCTCTCCATTGATTCCATACTACTCTCTCTCTCTATGATATGAGTACTGACTTAAGCATCGGAGGCCCAAAGCCGGGCACCCCACCCGGGGTCCCGACTCTGGGTTCTTGCAGGTACGGTGGCCGTCCGAGTCGAGGGGTCCGGGTGACATTTTTATCCCATCATATACAATAATACCTAATAAACTTATTACTACTCGAGAAATAATTAATTTTTTATTTATACATATAATATCAGTGTCAAATTAAAAATCTTAACTGAATGTTAATTTAATGTTGTATATGAAAAATAGATAACAAATGTAAATAATATTAATTTTTTAAAAATAAAATGATAGTAATAATTAATAAGAAAAATGAAAAAGATTTCATGTCATATTATAAATACACCACCTAAACAATAATATACAAAATCTCACTAAAAATAAAAAATTTCACTTAAAATCCCACCTTCAAACTTAAGATTTCATGAACTCTTCCAAAATCTAAAAATCATAAAAAAATCTCTCAATTATCAAAACGTATCAAAATGTCACTCGAAATCTCAAACGGAAATACACCACCTAAACAATAATATAAAATCTTGTATTATAAATATGCATTTTTGTTATAAAAGTACAATCCATCGATCCTCCTAATGATTGGCCCATCTCATACCAAAATTAATGTTTATAAATTATTTATATTGTTACAAAATCTCATTTTCTTTTGTGTAGCTATCCAGAATTGATTGGAACACCCTCCACCACATCTCAAATAGCTCAAAAGTGGGATTGAGAGGGAAAAGCAAAAATATGTGGGAAATTCGGTGCACGTAACTTCCAGATTTAAATAAAAATTAAACAAGCAATGCATCCATTATCCACAGTTATTAACTAAAATTTTTAGGCAAATATATTGTATATTATGGTCCATAAGAACAATTTTATTTCAAATATTCATGGATGAGGATAGCATATGACATAGCATTACTTTAATAATTTTATCCAAATGAAATTGGTACGGTATTATTCCCCACTTTGAAATATCTGTACTTGACGTGGATTTTTTGCAAGTAATTCCCACTTGGCAGGTGGCACTTACAGTCATTTTACATATTTTTTTACTTTTTGTTGAGTTAGATAATTAAAGTTACATATATAATTCTTGAACAAATCTTGCTTCCTTTATAACATAAGAAATCTGCTGAATTTTATTCGAATAATCTACATAGTAAATAGTAAACAGACAATAAATAACAATAGGATTAGAACAAAATTTCATTTAAAATATAATCCGCTTATGAAGGGATATTGATCCGATAGTAAAAAATCTGATATCCGAATACTCTCAAAGAAAAAGCCCATTTGAGCCCGTTATCTTCTTGAAACTTGAATATCATACAAAATAAAAGTAAAAATACACTTTTTCCCCCGACTTTTTACATTTTTTACATCTACTATATATATTTTAAATATTTTCATTTAAACCCCAGGAACGAACTACCCATACTGCCATAGGGCTGTTCATCATTTGAACCAACTGACCGAAGTGTCAAAAATAAAATAATTGGATCTAACCGACTGAACTTTTGCCCCAAACTAAAAAAAAGCCAAACCGAAATAATTAGTTTATTCGGTTAGATATCCAAAATAATTGAAATAAATTATAATTTATAATAGAAAAAATTATATTTAGTATTTTAATATTTTTATTTAATATTTATAATATTTTGCTGAGAATTTAAAAATATATATAAGTACATAAAAGAACAATATTTTTTATATAGTTCAATCAGTTAGTTTATTTTGGTTTTTAAAAATAAAACCGATATCGAACCAAAATAACCGAAATTTTAAAAGTAAAAAACCAATAACCGAATCGACATATGAAAAAAAAAACAAAAAATTGTATTTCGGTTTCGTCGATTTTGGTCGAACTTTGTACACCCCTAATTGCCACATACAATCACCGGCAGTCTCATTTTCCAACTGCAAAAACCACGCAGCAAAGCTTGAGGGCCATTTTCATCATTTCAACAGAAGAGAAAGAGGATTTAAATGAATCTGGCAGATGCCCAAAAGAACTCTAGACGCGGAAAATTTAACATATAATTTAAGGGAAATTTGATCCTTCCACACACCTTACTTTTTTACCATTGGATCACACCCAACCACATGAGTGTGTGTTGATCTAATGGCTAAGAACCTCCCTTTTGTTTTCCAAGAAGGATTGGTTAGAGGCCGAAGAAAGTACAATGCAGGTGACAAAGATTTCGAAATATTCACATGCTTTTAAAATCATGAGATCAGGTTAATCGACAATTTGACTGATAATCAGTCGTCAATGTAAGCATGTTTAGAGTTCACCCTTGTGTGACTTGAGCTAAACACGACATTCAGAATTAGTCCAACGACTAGAATATTTTCACAATTAAACGTGAAAATAATCTGAAAATACTCCCCTTTGATCATTTTTATCAGCCTAGTGCGTTTTCAATCAATGGATTTGTACGCTAAAGCTCTTCAAGCCGACAGCCAAAACTTGAGAATCTTGGGAACCTTATGAAGCTGTTACATAAACTAGTGAACTTACGTGAGATTAGAAAACACTGCCTTTTAGTGTTTTCATCACGAAAATTCAAGGATCCAACAAGGGAATGGAAATTTACAACACATTCAGAAATTTAACTCCAAAGTTTTCATGATCAAGTTTCTACACCTCTTTGAATTCATGTTAGTTAATCTTCAACCGAGCGTTTTCGTCCAAACAAAATCCAACAAGATGCTTCCATTTATATTTGTCACTATAAATTAGACCTTCACCAGAATATCAATTCTAATCCAACATCTGACCAAAAAAAACACCATAATCCACCCTATTATTTAATTATCCAGTGAACAACGGTTTTACATGGTCACCCTACACTTACCTAAAGAACGCATCTTAAAATTTCTACAAACTTGTATTCTAAACAGGCACACACATCACGATACAAACTTCACAATCCTAAGGCCAGATACATTCCAGAAATGTGTCAATCACAAGGCTCACTGATGTAAATTCTTAAACAGCAGGACATTAAGAACCTCAAAAACACAATATCACCAACTCAATATCCAAAATTCCAATCTTACAAATAACATCACAAGTTCACAACATTAAATATCCAAATAACAACACAATTTATCACCCCCCACTCATAAACACAAACTACACACCATTACTCAAATCATCATGAGAAAAGAACAATATTGCCAATTTGCCATTCAGCATCCCAATTCAAATAACACATCCCACACAACATATTTGCACGAAAAAAAAAACACCCAAAAAGAAAAAACTCACCTCAACCTACGGAACAGCATCGAGCCTAGCCTCGAACGTGAACCCTCGGCAAAGCCCATCCCCACTGCCCGGCCCGCCATCGACCCACATCCAATCCGCCTTCCCATTGCCCTTCTCTTCCCACAGAGCCAATCTCCCGACCCTTTTCGCCGAAAAACAAACCCTACCCCCACCACCAAACACCTTAAACTTACTACTTTCAACAAAACACCGATACATTTCCAACGGCATCCGGCCAGCCTCTTCCCACTCGAGGTTCTCCAAATCCAATCTCAGTATCAAGATAGTTGAGCATTCGCTCTGCAGCCCGTATGAGCTTCTAAGCCCGCCCACCATGAACACTTTCCTGTTACAGCTGGCTTTCACCAGCCTCGGGCGCTTCAAGATGTCGAAAATGTCGCCCCACTCGCGCCTCGCCAACCGGGCCCACTGCATTGCTCGATCCACGCCGATAATGCTGGTCTTGAACATGGCCCATTGGGGTCTCCAAGGGGAGCCCACATCGCAGATCGTGAGGATTGAATCGGAGATTAGGACGGGGCTTCGGGGCTTTGAGGGGAGATTGGAGGAGAATTTGAGCCAATTAGGGTTGTTGGTGTTGGAGGGGTAGTAGAGGACGGCGAGCTCGGTGAGGACGATGACGGCGGCGGTGGAGGAGCCCGCGAGGACGGAGCCGTGGCGGGACCAGGCGGAGCCGAGCTGGGGGAGGGTTTTGAATTGGGCGGTGA